CTAAAAGCATGCTTTATTAGTATAGCAGAGCATGATGCTAGGGGCATGGTGTAAATGATACCAGTATAACTAGGTTTATTTTACAGTATCCATCAGAGATATTCTTGTTTCTCAGAAAATAATCTTCCTTTCTCTTTTTCTTCTTCATTTATACCTGCCTGGATCTGGAGGATGAGAGCCCCTTTTAGCATTCACTCAAGCAGCCACCATATAAGAAAACCACACACGACAGGTTTATTATGGACGGGTTTATCACTGAGCAGTGCAACTGTCCCATGCTTTCTGTCACCCCCCTGCCTAACGGTGCATGTTTTTCCCCGTGTGTTGTTTCCCACCCTGTGCTTGTCACCAGCCAGAGGACACTTCTGCAAAGACATGCATGGAAGGTTGGCAAAGGAACTGCAGAACCAAAGCCATTAAGATACAGCTCTCCCACTACTGAAGAAAGAGCTGCTTCTGAAGGCAAAAAACTGAGACCTGTGCCTCTTTAGGTTATTTGAACTTTTTGTATGTTGGCATTGGATATAAAAAGATAACACTTTTTTATTGTACTTGCACTCTATTGAGCCCTAGGCCCAGAAAAAGGAATACAGAGTCCAAGCAGTGCAGTCACAGAGAAGCAAACAAAAGTGCAGCCAAGCTCCATTTACAGATGTGGAGGAACTCCAGGGCACAGGCAAGGCAGCTGTATGTGCTGGGCAATGACAGCAGAGGGATTTCTTGCCAGGGAGCTGGCACACTGCTTGGCACTGCTTAGAGTGAGGAATGGATTCCAGTATTCATTGATAGACTGATGGTCACTGCTTATGTTGAGTTCTATTGGCAGGAACACTGCCCATACCGTTTGTTTCTCTCCTAAACAGCCTGAATTATGTACAGATGTCTTCATGGTGACATTTTCAGCCATTTATTTCCTCTTAGGGCCTAACCCAAAGCCTGCTGGTGTAACTGAAAGTTTCCTTCTAACTTCTGCTGTGTCTCCATAATGTCTTCAAGAGTCCTCATGTCTTCTTGTCTGTCCTTGTCTATAAATGGGATTATTTATTATTATTATTATTATCTGGATCTCAAAACTTGGGCAGTATTGGCATGAATGCTTCAGAAAGTGGATTTGGAAAGGAGGCCAACTTTTGGTCTTAGGTACATGCCACGAAGCCCTGTAGACACTCAGAGCAGAATCTAAAATGTCTCTTGGTGAAGAAGTTGACCTTTTCTATTAAATGTGCTGTCAAATTCCATCATGTCATTACTGCAACTGAACAGGAGGTTTAGAAAAATAAACCATTGCAAATAGTTGCCTGTGTTTTAAGGGATAATACTGGGTAACTGACCCTGCACAAGAATTAGCAAATCACACAGGGAGTTTTCCCTAAGAAACAAACCTCTTACAGTGGGTTACTGTAAAGCAGGTATGAAAAAAGACAAATATGGGAGCTTTTAAAATTTTGTTAGTATCTTAAAAGTGTAAAATTATTTTATTGTGATTGAAATTAAAGTTTATTTCAAATAAAAAAAAAAATCTTGTACTCCATGACAGGAAAATAAGGTCATCTGGCAGTTATATACAAAGTATAAAGGGGGGCAGACATACATGCCTTCTGTGGCAGGATTCTCAGTTTTTAGAGTAGATTTATTTTATGACTTTTCCAACATTTTCCAGTGTTAGATGTGTAAGGGTCTGTATTTAATACAAATAGCCATCAGCTTTTCCTTTGAGGTGACTTTTCAGTGGGATTGATGCACTGAGTCAATCCATACCCCATGATTACAAGACTGGGGCTTTGTTTCTCCTTTTTGAACACTTGTTATACTTAACAGTAGGGGAACAAGGGAAAACAATATCTGCAGAGGATGTTTAGTAATTTGAAGTATCTCAGAAAGTAAATTTCGTTTCTACAAGATACTGAACTGTTTCTGCACTTCCTGACTGTCTTCATCCAACTAATGACAGTCTGAAAGATCCAGCGCTTGGGAGCAGCTGTAGAAATACCCATTTTAGAATGTGTTTGGACTATATCTGCCTGTAAAGAAAAATAATTGTTTACTTAAAGACTGAGAAGTAGAAAATGTAGGTGCTACATCAATGTTTCTGTCCCCATAAAATGAAAAAGGAGTTTAGTTCAGGGCTTGTTGTTTTGGTTTTTTTTTAATTATTCCCACAGTAAGCATCTAATTAATCTCTTCCTTTCTTAAATAAACCAATGATACACAGTAGCATTTGAGTATGTTATGGTCTAGGTTTCCTTTACATTATGTGAGGTTTAAAGAGCAGAAAATATCAAAACTGACAAAAAAATGTCTCTATCTTGGGAACTAATATTTAACCTGTCATGGTTTTTCATAATGCCTGTAAAGTGTTACATTTGTTTGCAGACAAGACTGTGCTTTCTTGATCTGTTTAAATTAGTCAGGCATCTCATTTTTCTTCAGACCTAAATGGAGTTTTAGATAAAATTGCAAGAATGTGCTTTTACAAAGTAATTTTTTTAAAGAAACTTTGGTATTCTGGAATATATGTATTTATTTACCAGTATGTGCAACGACAAATTTTTTGTATTTTCACATATTTACCTTGCGTTTGTCATAGAGCTTCTGGTGTTTGTCAGTACAGACACTGTGCAGAAATATTAAACTTAATTTGTTTGAAACAACTATGTGTTTCCTTACCCAGGGTCAGAAATACCTTGATAATTACCTACACAGAGTATGGAGGTTATTTAACATAAGGAGTTTCTAGTGCTATTTAAACTGGTTTTGTTTTTTTTACCTTTAACACTAATAATATTAATATAATTAGGGCCACAAAGATCATCAGAGGGGCTAGAGCACCTCTTTTATGAAGACAGGCTGAGAGAGTTGGGGCTTTTCAGCCTGGAGAAGAGAAGGCCATGGGAAACCTTATAGTGGCCTTCCAGAGGTGTGGACAGGGGGTGTTCCTGCAGCAGAATGAACGCAGCCCTTTAACAGCTGGCTTTGGTGCTAACACCTTCTCTCCATAAAATGCTGCAGGCAGGAACACTGCCTGTTCACTCCCAGGTGTTGTAGAGGCACAATGGGGATTCCCAGTGAAGAAAACACTAGCCCTGCTCATAGAGAGCGCAAACTACTGAAGTGTTTAAAAGAGAAAGAGTCCAGGATGTCTTGAAACAAAACCAAAATAAATGGTGCCTTACAAAATTATTCAAAAAGAAACACACTCCTAACAAAACAGTCCTGGAGCCAGATATTGATATACCAGGTTCACTCCTAGCTTCTAGGAGGATCTGTTCCATGACCTTCCTAGGCAGAGAGGTGAGGTTGACAGGTATCTTTCACTAGACCAGGTTGCTCAAAGCCCCAGCCAGTCTGACCTTCAACACTTCCAGGGATGAGACATCCACAACTTCCCTGTGCCAGTGTCTCAACACCCTCATGACCAGAGGCAGTTCCCTCAGCCTGCCTTTGTATGCTGTGTGGGCCAGTCCCCACCATCTCAAAGATCCCAGGCTAGGCCCAACGCCCCCCCTCCACATCTGTGTCTTTCCTGGAATAAGAAGACCAGGAGGGGACACAGGAGTCCAGATGCAGCCACCAAAGTACCAAAAAAAGAGAGAAGGAAAGAATTCTTGTTATCTCCTTGGTTTATTGATGTGTGGGGTTTTTTTTTAAATAGGGGAGAGGGATGGGAGATGGAAAAAATGGGCCCACACCATCTGTGGCAATCAACACAGCAACTGCTGATGCCAGGAGATGGAACAGATGAGTCTGCAGGGCAGCCAGGCTGGGCTTCCCAGCTCACAGCAGGTGTGGCAGGTGGGCCAGGTGCTCCTGTGACACTGGGCACTCCTTTCCTGCCCATGCCCAACAGTGGCTGAGAGGAGGCAAAGCACCCAGACATCCAGGCAGTGGGAGAGGGAGGGGCAGCCAGCCTGCAGGACGTCTCCCAGCTCTCCTAGAAGAACTGTTGATTGGAAAAGACTGTGTGGACTCTTCTTCCGTGTTCCCTGGTCCTGCCCCTGGAGCATGGGTAGGTGCCACCTCCTCTGCACAGAGCCTCAAAGGACAGGGGAGAAGGACTGGTGTCCTTTGGGCTGCTGTGCTGGGCCCACCCACGGTGTCTGTTGGAAGACACCAAGGGAGGTCCTGGGGGTGGCAGGTTTCTTTTCCTTCTGAGGTTCACTCTCACTCTTTTCTCTGCTTTGAAGGACAAACCTTCTCAATGATATTTTTTTGTTTGTTTTAATCCCCAGGGATATTTTTAGTGTTCTCTAACACTAAGTATGGTCCAACTCCTGCACGCACTTGGGACTTTCACCAGGACATTTCACCTCAGCCAATGGCAAAGGCAAAGAACGACTTCTAACTCTTCAGTCTTTCTCACACTCTTCCTGGAACACAGATTAGATGACTGGTCCCACAGCGTGGAAAAAGTTGGGAAATGGGCTATGGGTTGGGGTAGCTTATGCATTTTGTGGAATGTAGTGACAACAGTTTCTCAGGCTTACAGCAGCAATGACACAAGTGAAAAAGAGTCACATGTGTGACTATGATCTGTTCTGCTCTCCAGTTACCATTCAGGTAAGGGAAAGAGGGCTGACTTTCTCCTCCAGCTTCCTGGTAATCTCATAAATATATATGGATTTGAATAACTCTCATAACTTGTAGCACACAAACACATTGTTGAGAAAGTCAGAAGAGACATTTGGTTAACTCTGGGATGACAAAGGGCAAAACCAAGAACTGTTTCTTCAGAATGAGAAAGAATCCCAAATACCTGAACTGCATAATCTGCTCCAAGACACCAGTCCAAAAAGCAAGGACAAAGCACTGTTGGCAATGTAAGGTATGACCAGACTGCATGAAAGAGGACATTCACCTCCAGTTCAGGTAGATGATGTGACTGGTTGTTACCACAGGGATGAAACTGGTACAAGTTGATGAACATTGGGAACAAAACCCACATAAATGACAGTTTATGACCTCCACATCCACCATCTAGGTAACATCCACGTTTGTCTCTATTACTCCAGTCCTTTTGTGTTGCGCTTTCTCAGAGTGCCTGTTTCATCTGAATCACCGGCTCTTTGCTTTTTCAGTGCTGGATTTTCATTTTCTGACTCCACAGACAGGTCCTCTTGGGTTGACTCTTCTGCTTCACTGCAGCTGTCAGAGCAGAACCCAGCATTCTCCGCTATGACAGCAGGATCATCATCCTCATAACAACAGCAGCACTCCTCAAGGTGTTGGCTGGGATGAAGGTCCCTCTCCTCTTCACAGATACCAGTTATCTCATCAGTTTTCTGCATTAGATCATCTCCCCTTTCCATAGTGAGATCAGCTAGCAGGGTTTCCTTGCACAGGTGCTCCTCATCTTCCATGCCCTCCATTCTTTCTGCCAGTTCTTCTGCAGAGGGCTGGCTCAGGTCAGGGTAATCTACGAGGATTGTGTCCTGTTTGCGCTTGAAGCAATCAGAATGATCATAGACAGGATAGGTCTCTTCTGGATAACCTTAAGAATAAAGTAATATGCAGATTGAAATGTTACATTAAAAAAGTAATGCAGATTTTAGTGATGGATGCACAAGTTTCATAGAACAGTTGATTTTAGCACTGCCCGTGTAAGTGTCACCTATTTAGTGCCATGTAAACATGACAGTATTAAATCTATGGCAAGAATGTGCAAAACAGGACTTCCTGGGAGATTATGAGAAAAGTCCACTTATTTTTACAGAGCTAGGATATCAACCATTTCTTTCAGGAATCAGTATCTGAGCTTTGCTGAAAGTTATGGAAGCTAAGAGGTGAAAATTGAGTGTCTGAGGTCTTTAAATAGACCCATTTTTTTGTTTCTCTCTACAGATTGATTCATGTTTTGAAGACTTCTGCTATAAACAGCATTATTTATAAAGTTGAAAAAAACAAGATATGTCAATGACTTTTTGCATTTCATTTTAGAAAATGCATCACTAATGTTAGAAAACAGCTTGAGGCCACTGTTCATGCTTTATGTTTTGGATCATTTTTGAAAGCTTCTTAAAGAGCAAGGAATTAAGTCTGCATTTAAAATTATGATAGTGAGCAGCTCAACTAGGATATCTTGAAAACACATTTATGTAACTAGTAAACACCAAGGAATGGAAAGAACATTAAAATAGAGACATTTTTAAAGACATCCTTCCTGGAAATGACTTATATACAACATTAGAGCAAACAAAGAATGACTAATTAAAAGTAAAAACTGTGAGTAATGCAAAACATTCATTCTGATTTCCAAGAGTTTTATTATTTTGTATGAAACCTAGCCCAGGAAAGAAAGGGAAAGATATAAACCTCCAGCAGCCAAGACCCAGCAGCAGATGGAGGATATGTGAAAATTCATATGCCACTTTTGGCAGCAGATATTGTACTGTTTACACTAAAGGAAATGCTGGATGCCTCAAAAATCTATATTATTTCTATTATGGTTGGGAAAACAAATGACCTCTTGCAAAGTTTTGAACACTGACCTCTGAAAAGGATGGTTAAAGTTAACAAAAAAATTTTTAAGTATCTGGGACTATAACTAATCCTTATTCAATTTTTCTCATCGGGTAATGGTAAGAAAGGCTCTTACCTTCCCAATCCTCCATGTAAGGAGCTTCTTCTGCTTCTTTTTCAGGAGAGGTGCCATCTATGAATTTTCCTTCTTTCATAACTCTAGTAATTTCTCGGAGTTGCTGAAGTAACCTTTTTTCCTGGTCTGTTGTAACATTTTGAGTCCTGCTAGAAAATATTAGACACGAGAATTCAGTCCACTATTATTACAAACTGTTAACAGAGTTTGAACCCAACTGTTTGGTCCACCCCAGCAACACAGTATCAAGAAATCTGGCCGCAGTATGATCACTGTTCAACATCTGCTTGTGGTCTGCACTTCAGCTCAGTATAAAGGTTTATCCATTTATCCAAAAGGCCTGCAAACTTAAAACAAGTGAAGGAAGGAGGCACAGCCAATGTCAGAGCAAGATGAAAGTAACACACAAGCAAGAGTTAAAATAGAAAAGACACTACAGAATTTCCTAACCTTTAAAAGAGTGTTACGTGAGAATTAGAGGGCCATGCCTTGTTTGAAGCATTATAAGCAAATTTAATTCAGAACCCATGCTACATTTAAAACAACTTGTGGGGCTCAAGACTCTAATTGTCCCCAATTATGACCATTAAAAGTAATACATTTGCAAGATCTCACTAAGAAATGTCTGTTGGACAGATCATCACATTATTATACACAGTCAGCAATGCTGCCTGGTGGGGGGCAGGGGAGAAGCAGGAAGGAAGATTTAAAAATTAAAAGAAGGCATTACATTTAACTTGTCTTTAGAATCAGAGGGAGAGCAGGAGAGGCATGAGATATTTATCAGATTAAAAGTAAACTATAATTTTGGCTGGTTCTACACTGCTGATTCTAGTAATTACTGCACAGGTAACACAATTACTTACTGTTGTAACAAAATGCTTCCAACAGATCAGATCATGAAGTCATTTCATGTTATTTTCTCTGAGAAAAAAAATAGTCTCCTAAAAATATTATGGACAAAAAAGAAACATTTGGAGGGTGGCGATCGGAGCTCTGCTAAGTAGTTCAGTAGGTCAGAATAAGGAAGACACTGCCTGCACTTGGGGGTGAAAAGAGTTCTGACTGTTGTGCTTGTTTCATCTTGAGTTTCAAGTTGCTCTTGAGCAAGTGTTTGATCTCTGTGTAAGTGCCAGTTCAAGCCTCTCAGGGGATTGAGGCCCTACTCTTTTCACTCTCACTGTGTGTTAGGCAGCATGTATCCCCCCTAGTTACTCAGTGGCCTTCCACCTGTGCAGAATGCTGAACTGGTGGTACTGGTTTCATCAGCAGCTACCCAGATTACACTGTTTGACTGAGACCGCAAAGCTGAACAGCAGTTTGAAAAGCCGGTACGGTCCCCGTGCTGCCCAGAGGTTGCAGAGTCCCCTCACGTTGCAGTGGCAGGTTGTTCCATGGAACAAGCAAAGCTGTGAGAGCATAACCCAAAGCCAGGGTTATGCAGATGTAGAGTTTAAGATGGAAATTCATAGACATAAAAAAAGGCATGGTTTCATCACCTATCAGTCTTTGACAGAAACTGTAATAGGACTGCCAGACTAATCATCCTTTGATAGACTAAAGTGTATGTAATTTTAATATCTGTCACCTGGTTAGAGACAGAGAGGCTTGTATATTTAACACACTAGGGAGACAGGCTAGCTCAGATAACAGGATGAATTCATGCACCTGTATCACTGTGGCATTTCATAGAGGAAAACCACTCATATGCTAGGTACTTGCATGAGAAAGCACTACTGTCCTATTTCGACACAAGGTCTCTGAGTATTTCAGAGTATTACTCCTCCAGGTACCTTGCTTAAAAGACCAATTGCTCCAGAGAGAGATAGAAACCAAAGTCTGTGCACTATTTCTACTTCATTTAAGGCCTCTAGGAAGACCTGTTGTAGAAGGTTGAAAATGTATGTATAAGACTTCTGCCCACAGGAGATTTACCAGGGTATAATGCACTTATTAAAAGGACAAGAGATGCAAAAGTTTTAGAGTGCAAGAAAAGGTCATTATTTGTGCTCTCTGTGTTTGTAGCTCCAATACAGCTATTGCTTTTCATACTGGAAATGCTTATGCTTTGTAGAGTCCCAAAGTACTCAGTAACATGTAAAGGTTTCTTATTTTTACACTGGCCAGAACATGTCCTAAAGAGCTGCAGTGAAAAATCCATAATCTAATATGGTATCTCAGACATGTCAGCTGCTAATTTTTTGCTTTATGTTCTTAAAATAATCACTATTACAATCCATATATAGCCCCCAAAAAAGTACAACTCTCTCTTCCTCTTCCATATCAAATTTGCTTTGTTTGTGGTAAAAAGGTAAGTTTTTCCAGTTGACTTCCTGACCTTTAAAACAGGTAATGGAGCTGCATTATTTCCACCTCTTACCTAATTACCAGAAACAGATTTATTTTTTAATAAGAGAGTATTATACAATGCTCCCATTGAGAAGGTTTGATTACTAAGACTTCACCTGGCAGGCTGGGGGTCTCTTTGACATATCTAGCATAATAGGTCATGGTCTCACTTGGGGTCTTTCAGCATTAGTTTAAATTTTGTATCAGTTACTTCTTTATCTGACTTTTCTGTTGTAAGGATTTCTGTTTAACTGCATATTAATAAATAGAGCTCAAGTAATTTTTGCCCTCTTCCTTCTTCCTTTTTATTTAAATCTATCAACATTCAGATTGAATAAGCCTAGCACTGTACTCTCTGCTCTGATTACACTTTATAACCATACATTTTATTTTAAGACATTCATCCAGTATTACTGAACTTACCACAGTGTAGATTAAGACAGCTTCAGAGTCTGTGGGTATTTGAAAAACAGCCATTTACTCCATCTAGAAGTGCTTTCCCCCCCATCTTTAAAGAGGCTACATACAGAATTCTTTATTAGATTATGATTCTGATTTCCCCTAAGGTCTTTAGATCCATCGATATAAATAGTTTTGTTGAACAAAGAAGGGAAGTTCTGTTAAATAAAGGCTCTGAGCCAGTAACATAGAGCAAAACAAATATTGGATCAGACCCTAAACCCATTTTCTCAGTTAAAAAAAAATAAAAAAAATCTATCCTGAGAGGCAGCACAATATCTGGGCAGCTCATAAGCCTATTTCTGGCAGCTTAAAGATCCTCGTAGAGCATTGCATTAGCTCTCCAAAGCAGAGATGAGTAATAGTCAAAACAGTATCCTTCTGTTTCACTAACAGCCTGTTGGAAGATCAGGCTATTTGCTGGTTTGCATACCTTGGAGGATGAGCTGACTGACATGACAGAGCCCCTTCCTGTTCCCTTTTTTGAGGGATCCTAATGAAAGAGTGAAAAATAAACATCATCCTGACTTTCAGGAATGGAGAAGCAATTGACATTAGTGTTTTCCCATTTCCTTTCCTAGAGTTCTGTTTAACAGACAGTGCATGGAATTATGTCCTCCCACTTTCTTTTTATTAAAGCTCAATAACATGATATACAAGAGCATCTGCTCTAAGCATCATTCTGAGCACACAGTCTGTGAAATTCCTACTGCTCTTGTCACAGGCTGTGCACTCAGATTTGTCATGCTCTATTCCTAATGGTTCACAGCCATAAGGAATAATCTCTTGCTGAACTTGACCTACATTATTGTCTCCCCTTCACATCTCTTAGGGGTTCTCCCTGGAACTCAGGCTAAAATGGGCAAGTCTGGCACCTCCCTTTGCTGAGATGAGTGCAGCTGCACCAGGCACATGGTGCAAAGGGAGCAAATCTACATGCTCCAAGAGAATGTGGCTTGAAGTATAAATGAAGATACAAGTTTAGCATAGAATAGTTCCTACAGAATGGGTTAAAACAAACATTGACTTATTCAGACAAAGTTAATGTGCAGTACAACCTGAACAGCTACCTTTTTTGCTTGCAAACGTCACCTACGTCATTCATGGTATTTATAGTTTCAAACACTGCAATTATGCATTATCCTGTTGATGTGTTGTTACACTCCTTATTAAAAAAATATATATATAAATTTTTAAATCCTGATTTTACAACTCATTTTTTTTCTTCTATATTTAGAAACAAAGGCATGGATGTACTGGTTACAGGGCAGAGCTAAGTTATGTAATCAGATTATTAAAGAATTCTGCCCTAAAATAAATATTTTATGGATATTCCAACAGGCATTTACATAAATTATGACAAAATAATCCACAGCACTAAAAATAACATAAAACAAATGGGTCTCTTAGGAATCATTAAGGTTATCACTTTGGTCACATTATTCAGTGTGTTTTACATACTTTAAACTCAGACACTTCATTTTCTGTTTATACATACCTGTCATTATCTTCCAAATAATACATTATACAAAGGGGGAGGGCAGAGATAATTGCTTTTCTGTTTAAGGAAAGTGAATTTGGAAAAAATTATTTATTTTAAACACAGATGCTGGAAAAAAATGCAGAACAAAAAGTGTCATATTTAAAACAAAATTTCTACAATTTGAAGCAGTAATAAAAATGCTATTTTAATATAGCCAATGTTAGAAAGTTTAATTTCTAATCAGAGAAAAATCCCTCCTTAAAATTCTGCAATTGGAAACGCACCTGTCACAGTTAGGTCCTACTCTGTTGATTAATTTTTCCATAGCTTCTTCTGTCTCTCTCAGTTTTTCCTGGAGTTGGGTGAGCTCATAGTCAGCTGTAAAACAAACAAAATCCCAAGATATGTCAGTAGGAGTTTTGAAAACATATCCCTGTCCCATTATCACAGGTAACATATGTGGTACTGAACCAAACTGTCTGTGAGAAAACTAAAACATGCAGCTAAAAGAGCTCTACCTCCTTTTCCTGGTCTATGAACATGAAGACTATTGTGCCAATGGCATCAGGACACACAGAAAACATTTCAATAGCTCCCACATTACTTCCCAATAAGCAAAGTGAGCCACTATACATGCCCTGGAGCTTTAAGTGAGGGAAAAGAAAATATCTAAGGAAATACCTAAGGAAACCTACATAGTTTGCTGTCTACTGCAGAATTGACAGTTCTCGTGGAATTCCCCTGTTGAGTCCTTATGAACAGAGACAAAAGGTTACATGAGTATGTTCTAATGAGTTTAAGGTTTGAGAAACCACATCTTTATCAAAGACAATAAAGTTCGTGGGCTTGAGGGCATCAAACTCTGCACAGGTGTGCCAGGACAAGCAGTGAGCACTAATGGTCTGCCAGGCTCATTGGGCTGCAAAACAGCCACATGGTGTCTGCCTGGGGAGCAAAACACTGTATTCCCACAGCTGCACTTTAAAAAAAAAAAAAAGTTCATAGTACAATAGTAGACACACATATACATTCAGGAACACCCATACTGGCTTCAATTTTGCTGAAAGGGTTACATTATAGATGCAACATCATGGACATCAGCAAAAATGCTTAAGCTCCTTCTTTGGCTTTTGTAGCTCAAAGTCCTATAGCTGAGAGTTCCCTGTTCCCCACTGCACAACAAAAGGAAAGCAGCCTGGGTTAGTTAACTGCTGCTCCAGGAACACCCGTTTAAGCAGCACAAAGGCACAATGGAAATTCAACATAGTAGGAAAGGAGAGTAATCCATAAACATCCTGCTTTTGGAAAGATCTCTATTCTACAGAAAATGTCTTACTTAATGTATCACCAATGTCATTATTTTGTATGCCTGAGACTAAAAATAGGAAAAGGGAAACTGGCAAAGAGAAAGGAAGCTACTCCCTCTAAATCACTATGTAAGTAGTGGCTCAGTTTTCAGGCTCTTAGTTCAGTGACTTGTCCCTTGCTCTGCTACAGCTTGCCATGAACACTTTAGGAATACAAATTAAGAGCTCTAGAAAAAGGCAGAATAATTTTCATCACTAGTTCTTTGGGCTGTAATGATGGTAAACATTTAACTTACTGTAAAGTTAGTTTATCTTACCAAGCATTAGAGAAGAATATACAATTACTGTTGCTAATAAATTGCACAAAATTGCCAGGCACAATGCAGTACAAAGGCACTGAAAATACAATCTATAGCACTGAGTACATTAGTGTTCCTAAAATATGCATTAATGTCAAGATAATTACAGCTGTGTTAAGAGAATTACCTTACTGCTAGCACTTTCTATAAAGCCCTAAGTACTTTTCCTATTACAAGTTAGCCAGCTAAACACAGCATATTTAAATACTGTTACGGTAACCACTCACTGAATCTTCAATAGTAAGCTTATTATTTATCTAATAAATGTCTACAAATACTGGCATCTATCCCACTGATGTGTAAGTAAAATCACCATAACATTTCAGAATACTCTTTGCTTTCTTTATTGCACTCATCAAAACTTTGAGCACTGCAAAAAGGGAGAGGAAAAAGTAGGGAAGTGCTTAGTGATGGCTAAGAATTAACAAATTTAAAAAAAAATGAAGCTAGCTTTTAATAATATCTATATATACTATTACTAGAATATTAGGGATTATAAAATAATTATAGATGAACATCCTATTATCCATTTTTAATCATCAGCTACATAGCTTTTCAGCAAATCCATACAGTTAACTCAGTGAACCTCATCAAAAGCCATTGCTTCCAGAGGGGCTTGGGATCCGGCTGCTATTGCAGAGTCTCATTAGCTGAATGAGATTAGAAAGTGACAGTGCAGTAATTCACTTTAACTCTTGCTCATTCCAACACAGAAGCTTCTGGCTTGTTCTTTATGGGCAGGGAAATTCAGCTTTGCAGTGTGCCCAGAACTTGAAGAACTTAGATGGACCATACCTCTACAGAGTCAACAGCTACACAGCTACAGCTCCAAAGTCATACTCACTGATTTTCCTCTTCATGTTTCCAGGTGCAGCAGCAGGGCTTTTCCGCTCTCCAGCAGGAGTTTTTCCCTTAGATGCCAGCTGATGAGTAAAAAAACAGATGACCCTTCTATGAGTTACAGCAATAATAATATAAAAGTCCCAAAGGCAAATGAAAAAAGAGACAGAAAACTAAAATATGCCAGAAAGTAACCACACAAAAGCCTGCCCAGCAGCAAAGCCAGACAACCACAAAAAATGCCTGGAAGATCTTGCCAGCTGAAAACTCCTGAAAGACACTTGAAACAAATTATATTTTTAAGCATAGTGAAAGCATAACTCATCAAAAATGACTTTTTAATTTTAGAATGTTTATCTGTTCCAGCATGATCATATAATTATGCTGCACCTAGCAGGGAAAAAACTCAGGTGCATTGGGCAATTACTGTGAAATAAAGGCCAGGTTCTGAAGGATTTATATGTGACCCACTTGTTCCTCTTGCAACACTTTCTGCCATTATTTATCACCAACTTTGTACCTGTCACAAGGATACTGGCTGGCTCTATACAGAAGCTGCAGGCTACCTCTTTCATCTTCTCTGTGTTTGATCAGTTCACCCTATTCACCTCATTCTTGGCTCTGTCTATCCAGAGCAGGCTCAAGTGTTTGGACACTGCTCAGTCTGGATTCAGCCTCCACTCAAAGGAAAAAACATTTCCACAAGTTCACTTCTCCCTCCTCCCACACAGCTCACTATCATCACCTACATGCAAGTCACATCTGTGTAACAAAAAGCTATGAGAAATTCAAATCAAGTGTGAAATACTTCAAGAGAATTTGGGCTGTGCTTTTTTAAACTAGCTTTCAACCAGTTACTCAGCTGGGGTAGTTCCAGCATGGTCAATTACAAACCTTACAAACTCCCATCTCCAACAACGTGGTGCTTTAGTTCCAGAAGGTATGCAAGAATTATTCTCCTTTTCTCCCACTTTAAATGCATAACACAAAACATGACATATACAATATGTATTCACACAGAATAGAAAAAAATCCTATAATACTATCTGGATGTTATAATTTAATCTTGCATTTTTATACACATACACATTATCCTGGGGGAAAATACTGTAAAAAACTTAAAACATGACATATACAATATGTATTCACACATAATAGAAAAATATCCTATAATACTATCTGGATGTTATAAATTAATCTTGCATTTTTATACACATATCCTGGGGGAAAATACTGTAAAAAACTGTAAGACCTCAGAGGCAAATTCAGGATCAGAGCAAACCATCCCTGCATTCATAGCTGCAGTTTTTGCAATAGCAAAAACCACACCAATCTTTGATTTCTGTTGAAAGATACACCAGTCTTTCAACCACCAGACCAGCATAAGCACTTTTTTTGAGCAAGTCTGAAGTGGAAGAACCAGATACAGAAATGGGACTATCATTTCTGGTTTGAGGGGTTTTTTTTAATTGTTACTTTCCTGACTTTATAATTTATGTTGGTCTTACCTTAAATAAAATGTACAGGATATATAAGAAGATGCCAAATCCATATATTGGGATAATCTGCCCCACAAGACCTCTTCCAGTTCCACCAGTGCTTCCACCACCACCTCCACCTGCCTTGGCTTTGGCAACTGCTTCAGCAAGGTGAGACCTTGGAAAATGAGGCGCAGCTCGGCTGTCAGGAGTGGCCTGGTAATGCATCCTCAGTGGAAAGCGACCAAGCTTCCCTGCAAAAAACCCCACACAATTATTATTTTCCTTCTATTAATTTTCACCTTTTTACATGCAACCTAAAACTTCAGCCAGTGCAGCTGACCTATTTTCTCCACTTTTAAATGCACCACCACTGACAAAAAGGGTAACCTGTTGGACTGTAAATACTAAGTCTGTAAATGCAATTCTCCGTCCCTTACTATATGCAGTACTAGGAGTTAGGTGTGCACAATTATTCTCTTGATTTTAAAAGGAGAAAAAATTGACAGAACAATTAACATGACATGGATTTTGATAGCTATATACTTGAGAAAACCCCTATGAATCAGCATCCTTAGCAGGATGAAAACCCAAACTCTTACTTCTTGTTCTCTGCTCAAAAAGCCCCAACAAGTATTGGTTTTCTGCTGTGAGCCTGATCTTTCAATATTATGTAGAGGTGTGTTAAAGCAAAACCTGCTCCTCATCTAGCACTCTGGTACATGACTGCACTGTTTGCCCAGAGTTGATTTTTGGTTATTGCCATAAGAAGTAATATTTAAACTGATTTTCCTAAATGCATAATGAAAGATAAAGTGGTGGTACCTGAAAATGTTATCCTTAAAAATGTGTTGGGTAAAGCAATATAAGAGAGGAGATTGAATATAGCTTGAAACACATGATCTTCAGCATTTTAGAGGGAAAAAAATTATTTCTAGCCTTAAGAGAGGCAGAGAGAATTTAAAACGAGAAATAGAAGTGAGGTGAAATGGATGCACAGATGCTAGGATGACTGCAGAGAGCTTGAAATGGTGCTGTGGATTATTTTGTTCAACTGAAGAGCACTGAAACCTCAAGAAATGTAAGCTCATGGATTTTTTATTTTTATTTTTTCTGTCATAAATTCAACAACTTTGCTATGAAATTCACTATTCTACTCCTGCAGGTACTCAACATCCTGCTTTCTATCTCTATATCCAGCCTGGACTTGCCCCTGCACTCCTTTCCACTGTTTGGAACTGAACTGAATTACTGGGCTACTCAGCCATCGATCCTGGTGTTGGGAGGCGTTGGATGGAAGCACCAGTGATGGGAACTACCAGGATGAGCTACAGCCCATCCCCTGGCCCTGGCTGCAAAAATTCCCTTCCCTGCTATATGTGGCAGAAAATCCATACAGGCTGGGCACTGGGCACTTGCACTGGGACAGGCTGCATGCACTTCCATAAAGAAACTGAAAACCAGGTTTGAAATAGCACTGAAAATAACTATACTTCTGTAAGTTCCCAGCTACAAATATTTTTAAGAGAAACAAAACAAGACAAAATTAGATTAAATTAACATTTGCTCCTGCTAGGAAACACCATAGTAGGCAGCTAAATTCCTGAGCACAGAAAATTACAGTGAGTATGTACTAGGAAGTAATAAATAGTTCTATTACTAAAAGTTCTACTAATAAACCCACATTTTTCTTTAAGGTGATGGCATATGTTCTTTGAGTGAAATTGTCCAGGTACACTGACTTTGACTAAAACCTGGTCCCAGATTAGCTCAGGCTGAACTTTAATTTCTGTGAATTATTCAAAGTCTGTGATGGAAAGCATAGCATCTTATTTACAACAGAGTCCCATTGCTTGTAGCAGTAGGTCAGTGTGGAAACAACTGTGATGTCATGTAGAAAGCCTGAGGGTAGATAAACCTATGAAAGCATCTTATATTAATGCAAATATTCTTTATTATAAAAAAGAGACGGAGAATTCAGAAAATAATTGACAAAGGTGAAACTGTATTTAAAGGGAATATTTTTCTAATTTACCCACAGGGCCTCATTTGTGCTTTAAAAAATTCAATTAAAGATAACCAGGTCAGAGGGACAAACACTAGTAATTTCATTATAAAAATAATTTAAGGGGGAATTTCATGGCTTCTAGTTCTAAATCTTCCCTGTTGATTTTGAAACTCTCATAATGATTGCCTTACATTATTTTCCACAGCTTTTTATTGTGAAGAACCCATGCAAATTATGGAGGAAATCGACAGAACAGGCAACTTAAAAGCACCACATGCCAAAAGCTATCAAATACACAGTACATAAATGGAAATGTGTAGCAATTTGGATGCTACCATCAATTAAGCAACATACCTCATGCTTTTAAAAACAAGCTATCACACCAGTAGGTGATGTGACTGGATTCCACATTTCCAGGGATGAAACAAACCCCTTTCAAATGGAGACACCAGAATACTCCCTATCAATAAAATCCTGTGATACTTCTACTCGAGTACAGAAGGGCGTGTGTTAGGTCCTTCTCTGCTGCACGACTGAGTTGCCAGTGTTGATGGTGAGTTCTTCAACTTGGATGTTTTCCATGCTGTGGGAAGAGCACTAACCTCCATTTAGCTTTGAAGGGCACCACGATGCTGCTCTGCTTTTGAAACATTTCCTAACTCCCCTGCAACAGCCTGAGAGCTTCATGCAGACCTATTGCTACATATGGTAACTCCACCCAATACACCCTACCTGGCTTTGCAATCTTTTTACCTAAGGTTTACCCAACATTTTAATAATTTGTTGGTTTAATGCTTCAAATCATCTTGGCAAATCAGCTATAGGAAACCATGTTTTGTCTAATTCTGCCCCTTTGGTAGCTTTAAATCCAAAAATTAAATTATGCCTGTGCTAATGTTTGTGTTGTTTAAGAGACTGGAGGTTTCTGAATGTAGATAAAGTCCTTAATAGTAGTATCACATTAGAATTACTGCGAGTTTATTAATCTTTTAACAATATTCACACTCAACTGAAAAAAGCCAGTTCTTCTCCAAAGAGTATTTATAGCACACCTAATAAAACAGCCAAACAGCTGATAACATTCAGACCATCCAAGTATCTTTTTCTTAGAAAGCTCTTATATGGTCTACCTAATGGGGTTCAGGAATTGCTACCAAGCCCAACTTGACTATTTATAAAATTATTTAGGCTGAAGTTACTGTACAAATCAGCAGCTCTTTTTCTAGATAATATGTCTTTCTGCACCATTTGTAAAATGCTGGGATGCATACACACACCTATGATAAAAAAATAAAGTTTTATATACAGTACATATAGGCTGTTGCAACATTAATTCTGCAATCCATTCATCAGGATTTATAGTACATTACTTCATTTATAAAAGGTGCATGTTCTTCAGACCTCAGGAAGCACAGGAGGATTAGAGATGGGATATGATCGTCTGAAAAGCATGTGTGACTGTCAAAGCTGACAGCAAAGCAAAGGTTGCTGTTATCATTGCTCCTTAGGACAGCACCCACAGTTCTGCTCATGCTCTGCAGTAGCTCTTCTACCTTTTTACTTTGTTTCAATCCCCAAACCACGGTTACACTACAATGGTTTGGAAGCTTAATAAAAAGGGTGTTTTTTTCCCAAGTGAAACATTTAGTGTTCCTTACTGTGGATGCACACCTAACCAAACAAAAAACACAAAGAACAAACCAGCTGGACATTTTGCCAAAGCTTTATCTGAAAAAAAACATGTGACAGTAGGATACAGAACTACCCTCCTGCCTCAGCAATGCAAGTTTCAGTCTTCAAACTGTACTCGACTCTCACGTTTATGGATGCTTAGGTGCCATTCACATTTTCCTGGTAAAACATTAATTGTAGTGAATAAAAAAGAAAAGCAATGCTTTTTCAGACAGGCACACATACATTTTTTCTCCCCTGCTTTGTTGGACTTGATATTTACAGAAGACATGAGCTCTAAGCAAAGCTTTTGCCAAGTAGGATATGCAAGACCTCCCCTCTCTGGTAGATGCCAATAAACAGGCATTCATTCTGTAGTCTTTGTCTCAAGAAGACATGTGAATCAATCTTTAGCCCCTCTCCACAGCATATTTTCATAAAACATTTATTTTTCTCTCTCTGTCCAATGAGATAAATTGGCCAAAGGATTCTAAAGCTGCAAATGGGAACACACAGAAAGACACATGGCCTCCATGATAAAGTAACTTGATCCTCTCAAGACTGAAAATGTCCTCCTAGGTTTTCTTGCATGTTTACTATAACAGCTTAGAATAATCTATACACAGACTGTTTCCTTCACATTTAATCTCTTTTACAGCACTATATAATTTCTGCTGCTATTCTTTAACACCTTCTAATTTCACCAACATCTCTACCCACAGAAAACCCAAGTAATTAATCCTTTTTATAACACTACAAATTCACATTTGGTTAATTGTTGAGGTCACTCTCTATTTCAGTATTATATACTACCCATGTTGTAGATTTTTTACATGAGCAGTCATTTATATTTTTCCATTTTAAGTATATTTATAAATACTTCATATTCTGTCAGACAGTGTAACATCAAGATTAACTGGATGACCAGTATGCATTCACTTAGTTCTTGCTCTTCTACTGATATTTACAAAATTGCTCCAGCTGTGTTCCCCACAACTTTAGAAATCTACTAAAAATGGCTAGAAGCAATGACAGTTTTGAAATCCTTAATTTAAACCACCACACAGGTGTTTTAACAGACACAGACAAATGCTTCAGCATTTTTTATTAAATATTGCAGGTTGAGGTTAAAAAGGAAAACACAAAAACTACCCAAAATGGAAACATCTTAATTTTCCTAAGTAAGGACATCTGCAGGCATCTGATGCCTGCACTGTACAAATGCAAGCCAGCCAGAGGCATTACCTGAACAGTCATGTATTTTTCTTGGAAAGCTGATGCCACTTCATAGTTCATAAGAATGCAGGCAATGTACACCTATTGCCACAGTGCTGTAAGGTTTTTCCTAAAATACCAACTTAGAGAGTAGTTTTACAAAATGCATGGCACATATTTACGAATACTAGACTTAAAAGTACTTTTAAACTGCTCGTAGTTTTTCTCCTCTTTCCAAAAGATTAAAAAAAAATACAATCTAACACCTGCCACGAAGTAAACTAGGAATGTGAAACATTCACATAAGTTCTTTAAATAAGTTCTTTCATATACATGAAACTATTACTGTGAA